ATGCCCTAAGCGGTGGCGAATAGGAGGTGGATCCGGCCGACGGCGATGCAAGGCGCAGCGGAGGAGGAAGGGCGCACTCGCTGTGCGACGGAGGAGCAGCGACGGGATTAGGCTGCGGCTGGGAGGAGCCACGACGGAGGAGCCATGGCGGGGAGGAACCGCTGCAGGGAGAGGAATGGCAGCGGCGGCGACGGTGAAGAGGAGTTGCTGCAGGGGAGTGCCCGTGCGCAGCGGGGAAGGAGCTGCAGGGAGAGGAATGGCGACGACGACGACGGTGAAGAGGAGCTGCCGCGGGAGGAGTGCGTGTGCGCGATGGGTTGAGCGACAGCGGGGGAGGAGCTGCCCATCGAGCTTGAGATGGACCGCAAGAGGAGGAGGCCCGGTAGTGAGTTCTCCTCGGCAGCGCCATGGACGCGTCTGGCGAGGCAGGTGGTGGCGGGGAGGCCGCGACAGCGGTGAGCAATAGGTCCCGCCACACAATGCTGGAGGAGCCTCGCCTCCGTCGATTTCCTTCCTCCGCGTCCATTCTACGACGACACGTCCTCATCGTGGATCCCGTCACCGGCATCACGTCTGGCCACCCCATGGAGGAGGAGGTCGTGGCCATGCCTGTTCTCGCCGGTGAGTCGCTGGTCCATTCGCTCGAATAGCAGAATTCATGTATATGACTAGTCCACATGATGGCAATTTTTGTATAGGATCTTATGGCAATTTACATGAGCTGAAATAGATTATACTGAATGTTTTTGCCATGGCAAATTTGTTTTTCTCATCAATCCAATGTTCAAATTAACATAACCATGGCAATTTTTCTGTAGCATCACATAGTAAATTCATACATTGTTGAATAGATGCTACAGAATGTGTTTGCCATGGCAAATTCCATGTATCATGTACAAATTTTTCCCACAATTTGTTTGGTCACATGGAAAATGTAGGATTGCTCTTTATTTGAACACACGACATTCTCGTAAAACATGGCAAATTCTGAAATTTTATACAGCATGTCAAACATAATTCAAGTAACATGGCAAACTGAATGTTGGATCAATAGTTGCCATGGCAGTTTTCGTTATGAGTAGTTCTCATGGGGTAGAATTGCTATGAGTTGTTGCCATGGCAAATTTCTGGAGTAATTGTGATGGCAAAATTATATAGTAGTTGCCATGGCCGAATTTGCTATGAATAATTGCCATGGGACAGAGTTGCTATGAGCTTCTGCCATGTCAAAATTTTGGAGTATTTTCCATGGCAAAAATATGTGTTTTGTGTGATCTGTCATTTCATACCGATGTTAATGTGTCTACAATTCCACTTCTTATCAATTTGCCATGCTTCTAAATAAATACATGGCAACTATCCTACTGTTTGGCGCTGAAAATTGCCATGTGTTCTGATATGCCATACGATACGGCAGTTAATGCATTTACATTTTCCCTTTCATCATTTTGCCATTCTACTGAATAAATAGATGGCAACTTGCCCTATGTGTGGAACTGTAAAAACTTGCGTTGTTTGCCATGTTTTTCAAACCACAAAACATCCTTTTTCAAATTTCTGAGTAAATACATGGCAAATCCCTCTCTATAAAAGCCTGAAATTTGCCATGTTTCATGTTTGTTATGCCTGTTAACAGGTACCAAGCAATTGGTATGCTACTGTACCAAATGCTTGGCAACTTCATCAGATCCATAATCCATCAATTGCCATGGCTGAACTTTTTTTTGCCATGTTTGCCATCTTCATGCCAACCACAACCCATCATCCTGTAATGATACTAAATATAGACATGGCAACTCCCCCATGTTCAATCAGCCTAATTTTGCCCTGTTCGTTTCATGGTAGATGGCAAATCACCCATATGTATGTACATTTTCCTACTTAACAATTTGGCATGCTACTCACTAACTACATGGCAATTTCAGTGTTACTATCGTGGCAAATTTAACTCATATAACATGGCAAATCTATCTTTTTTTTCATGTACCACAACATTATTACTCCATGTGCCATGGCATTTTGACTTTGCACTTGCCATGGAAATTTGTTTTTGATCATTTTGTTTGTGTTATTTTCACATACACGACAATTTTATTACGCAAAAGATGGCATTTTCGTTGAAACTAACATTGCAAAATGAAACATGCATTTTCCATGGCAACATTTGATCAATTTTTTATTACTTCACATTCTTGGCAAATTTCATGTAAAATTTGATTAAAAAAACACGGCAATTTTTGATACAATTCTGCCATGGCAAGTTTCTCGTTCATATTTGATTCCAACTTTTTGTGTTTTTTTACACGAGCTAAATTCATCATACAAAACACGGCAATTCTTGATACGAATCTGCCATGGCAATTTTTCTTGTTCATACTTGATTTTGAACTTTGTAAACGGGGCCACAACAATTCTTCTTTTTTACAACATGGCAATTTCTTTTTGAATGGGACCATGGCAATTTTTTAGTGCATGCATCATGGGAATTATAGTTTATGGATCATGGCATTTTTTAGTCTATGCCTCATACAAATTTTCTATTTTTGAAAGCGATCATGGCAAATTTTCTTTCATGCCAGTTCGTGGAGCATGGCAATTTTTCATCCTTCTTTGCAACATGGCAAATTTTCTTTTTGAATGGGACCATGGCAAACTTAGTGTATGTATCATGGCAAATGTAGTTTACGGGGCATGGCAAATTTTCTTTCTTTTTTGCAACATGGCAAATTTTCTTTTTTCAATGGGACCATGGCAATCTCAGTGCATCTTTCATGGCAACGGTAGCTCATGTAGCATGTCAAATTTTCTTCCTTCTTTTACAACCTTGCAAATTTTGTTTTCGAACAGGACCATGGCAAACTTAGTGTGTGTATCATGGCAAATGCAATTTTCGGAGCATGGCAATTTCCAATTTTAAGGACCATGGTAAATTTTCTTTCCTTTTTTTGCAACATGGCAAATTTTCTTCTTTGAAGGAACCATGGCAAATTTAACGGGACCATGGCAACATTAGATTTACTCATGTTTCAAAAATAGATACCATCGCAATTTTATTTGCCCCATGGCAAATTAAGTTCAAGCATGGCAAATATAGTTTAAGGATCGTGGCAATATTCTTTTCCTTTAGCAACACGGCAAAAGCTACTTTTCATTTGACCATGGTAATGTAGCTCCTCCCCCGGCCTAGACGTCGACTAAGATGCCTACCAGGAGGTCGTCCTCCGTGATGACGACCATGAATATTTTGTTTTGTTTTTTGAAAACATGGCATTTATTTGAATTTTTATGTGATGGCAAGTCGATATGCACCCCCGCTGCAAAACTTGTCATTTTTTAGCTTGGGAAACAACAATATTTTCCATGGAAAATTCATACAATTTGCCATCATATAGCAGTAGATATGTCATGGCAAATTTTCAACCAATTTTTTACCTTGGGTATATTCAATATGCAGGTTTTGATTTGGCATTGTTTACTACTTAGACCATGGTAATTCCTGTACTTTTAGACCATATAATTTTCATAATCAGATCAATAACAGCAATTTTAATAGAAATCATTCGTATACAGCAACTCTATCAAACTTGTTGCGCCATGGCATTACACATAGGATATATGTATATATATCATTTTGTACAATACTTTTCCATATACACTTTGCAAACTTGTTGCCATGGCAAAAAAATTCCGACATATGTCAAATTTTTTTGTTGGCACCTATGTACTATACGGCAACTGTATTGTTTTGAGTTTTTATAAACACATGTTCTTGGTGCTGTTTTTTGGCTTGTTTTAGTGAAGCAATAGGTAACTGCGCTGCACGTGCTTATTTCGTTGCTGGGCTGGCTAGTTCAGTGTCATGTCGGGCCAACTGGAAATCATTCGGTCTGGGATCGATCCCGCACGGAACGTGTACGTTGACATAGGGTGTGTGGTAGGGTGCTTCTTCTGCCACAGTTGTGGGCGGTTCTACTGTTCGCCCACACATGCCACGTGTGGACTGTCTCCTGCTCATACCACACACGATGTGTGGGCGGGTGTTGCTCCCATCACACGGGTGAGCGTTATCGGCGTCCAATTTTTATTATGCTTAGTGTGCTTTGTACTTCCATGAAATCTTTCCTATACAATTCTTTATAATAGGGCCGAGTCTTTCTCACAGAAAAGTACAATAATGAAGTGCCTAGAAGAAGTGTTGTGGTGGCAACCGTTTTTATGTTCGCGGCAGGCATTCTAACGTGAGTCACGCACTCTTCGCTCCATGGGGTGGCAGTAAAACGTGGACGAGCGTAGAGCATGTACGCGCCTCAGCCCTTGGGGCCCCGAAGAGACGACCGCACACGACCTATACAACCGTATACAACAATACTGCAGTTACGTTACGTTAGGGTCCCAAAAAACAAAAAACAAAAACCTAAACTAGTCATACGCTCCAACTGACACCCATGGAGATCCGTACCTTTCTGGGTTTTTTTTTTGCATGGTGTACCTTTCCGTTTTGGCAGCCCCTCCACCACGTGTCGCGCCGGCAACGGCCGCACGTTCCGTCGTGGGGCTCGCAGACTAACCCGAAACGGAACACCTGTCCACGTGATCGAGCCGCCGTTGCACCGGGAACGGGCCCCGCACTGCCGCCTCGCCGCTCCTGGCCGCGCCCCGGCCGCGCGCGCGCGTGCGCGTCCAAGCGCCCTGGCGTAAGCAGTGACAAAAGCCGCGCCCCCACCGTCGGATGCCCTCCACGTCTCGCCGCGAACGGCATCCCCTCGGCGCGCCCGCGCGCGGGGTCTATATATGGCGCGCGTGCCGCACTGCGCATGCTTTCATGCTCTCCCCGCCCCTTCCAGGACCAGAAAGAAGCCCCACGATCGTCCGGTCCAGCTACTAGTTCCGCGACGCGATCGTCCGGTTTATTTATCTGTATCTGGTTAATCGCAGCAGTTTGGAGCTGTCAGATTCGAGTAGCTAGCTTAGCATCTCGAGCGAGAAGAAGGATCGAGGAGATGAGCGGCGGCGGCGGAGGAGCGGCGGCGACGCAGGGGCAGCAGGATCTGCAGCTGCCGCCGGGGTTCCGGTTCCACCCGACGGACGAGGAGCTGGTGATGCACTACCTCTGCCGGCGCTGCGCCGGCCTGCCCATCTCCGTGCCCATCATCGCCGAGGTCGACCTCTACAAGTTCGACCCATGGCAGCTCCCAAGTACGTCCTCCATGCCCCGGCGCAGCATGCATGCATGCATGCCTAGGTAGCTCACGCGGCGGGATGATCTAATCGTTTTTGCGTCTGCGTGTGCGTGCGTGCGTGCAGGAATGGCGCTGTACGGCGAGAAGGAGTGGTACTTCTTCTCCCCGCGCGACCGCAAGTACCCGAACGGGTCGCGGCCGAACCGGTCGGCCGGCACGGGCTACTGGAAGGCCACCGGCGCCGACAAGCCGGTGGGCACGCCCAAGCCGCTGGCCATCAAGAAGGCGCTCGTCTTCTACGCCGGCAAGGCCCCCAAGGGCGACAAGACCAACTGGATCATGCACGAGTACCGCCTCGCCGACGTCGACCGCTCCGCCCGCAAGAAGAACAGCCTCAGGGTACGCCCCATCCTACCCTCTGACCTGCGCACAGTAGGTGGTCTGAACTGTGCGAGAATCATCTTCAATCAATCCCACTTAACTTTGTCCTCTTTGGCATCATCTCGAACGATTAGATAAGGAGTCGGTTATCGTCACGTATCGATCGTACGTGGAAGATAAGTGGGGCTTAGTTAATTGTTTACGATCCTTGTCACGGGCAGCTCTCTCGCCGGTGTGAACGGTGGAGATGCCGGCGTGCGTCATCTCTTCCGCCCGCCAATTATCTCCCGCGCTTTGTGCGCCGCGATAGCGACTCGTTTCCAACCAGTGTCACCTTCCGATTAGTTTATGATTATGATGATGGATTTATATTGGAATGTTCATGTTAGAGAGATGATTTTGGTTCTGAACATGTCGATCGATCTTTTTGTGGTGGCTGCAGTTGGATGACTGGGTGCTGTGCCGGATCTACAACAAGAAAGGCGCCTCGGAGAGGCCGGGCGCCGGTGACCGGACGGCGAGCGCGAGCCCCGGGCACGCGGCCGTCGGCTCGCCGCCGGAGCAGAAGCCGGCCCTGCTGCCGCCGTACGCGCCGCAGCCGTTCTCGGACCTGGCGGCGTACTACGAGGTGAGGCCGTCGGACTCGATGCCGCGGGCGCACGCCGACTCGAGCTGCTCGGAGCACGTGCTGACGGCGTCGTGCGAGCGGCCGGAAGTGCAGAGCCAGCCCAGGATCTCCGAGTGGGAGCGCACGTTCGCCTCCGCCACCCCGGGCGTCAACCCGGCGGCCGGGCTCCCCGCCGGCGACCCGCTCCTCCAGGACATCCTCATGTACTGGGGCAAGCCGTTCTGAGGCTCCGGCTCCGTTGCTGTACGTGTGGTTTGGGTGGGGCTTGGGAGGGAATCGATCGGGGTGACTCGGGCGAGCCGCCGGCCGGAATCTATCGGCAGGAGACACTCGTGGCCGTTGGATGGAAGGTATCAATAGTGCACAAGGAGTTACGGACGGCGGCGATGAGACGCGGGAGCCCCGGTGTGTTCGAGGAGGGACGCGGAGAGTACTGTACTTGGTCTTGGTGTATACGGATTTGAACTAAGCTGTGTATATGCGATTGATTTGGAAATGGGTTTTTTTGTTTACATTGCTTTTTTATACCTTTGTCTTGTTTGGGAGATGTGCATGGTATCGGTACCATTGGAACGGGAATAGGTATACTTATTTTATTTTCCCGTGCGATCTTTTTCCGCAAATACGCAAAAGATTTGCGCATCTTTTTAGACTAGTCATAGTGGAAAGTAATTTAAAGTACTATTTCTCCGTTTCTAAATATAAGTCTTTCTATAGATTTTAACAAGTGACTACACACGAAGCAAAACGAGGAAATCTATACTTTAAAATATGTCTACATACATCCGTATGTTGTAGTCCATTTAAGATATCTAAAAAGACTTACATTTATGAATGAAAATCTATGTTACTACCTCCACATTGGCTAGTAACATATGTGTTCTGTCATTAAGGATGACAATTTTATCCATGGACATGGATACCCGCGGATATCCGACCCGAATGGATAGAGTTTGGGTACATTTGTATGCCCATGGGCAGCATCCGAACCCGACCCGATTACTCTTGGATAGGGCGTGGACATAATTATGTATCCGTGGATATACCCGAACCCGACCCAATGGTATGACATGTGAGGCAAAATTCATGATGATCCCCACTATCCCATCTAATGATTTTTTTATTTGTAAAAAATGAGAAGTAAATTGCATAGTCCCTCCCGATTCCCACCGTAACTTTACTCCGCCACCTCTTCTCATTCTTCAATCTCCTCGTTAAACGACCTGTCATTAAGCTTCATCTTCCTCGCCTTGACTTATCCTCCCGCTGCTCTAGATGCAGTCGGCAGCGCCACTAGCCTTTACCTCTACATATGGTGTAGGCGTGCAGCACTTCAGCATCCAACGCCACTGTCCAGTGGAGCCCAACTCCATATCCCCTCGACCCCCCTTCTTGGATTCTTGCACGGGTACGGCGGCGAGCCGGCGCAAGTCTCTGAACTGGGATGCAGAGCACAGCGATGCGCAGCAGCGCGACGCACGAGTACCGCTCCGCGCCGGACTAGCAGCATGGCAGCACGTGAGTGTAGGGAGACGGGCGCATACCAAGAAGTGAATCATGACCTTGCTAAGAAGGTGATGAACACACCGAATAGTCGACATTCAGGGTAAGTTTTGCTGTTTCCTGAATCCTCTCATGTATGTGTGGTGTTCCTGTACGTGGGTGTCCAACATGAGCATGTAGCAACTGGAGCAGTAGTAATTTTTCTATGTGTGGTGGTCCTACTCGTTCCCAAAATCACCGAATCCTCTGAGAGTCTCAGGGTAAGTTTTTCTGTGTGGTGTTCCTGCTTGTTCCCTGAATCCGCATGTATGTCTGCAAATTATTTGTTTCAATTTACAGTAGTAAATGGAGCAGTAGTCAAAAAATTCCCCTGAATACCTCTCATGTATGTCTGCAAATTGATTTTTTTCAGGTTATACAGTAATAATTGGAGCAGTAGTAATATTTTTGTTCTATGAATCCCGCTCGTGTATGTCTGCAAATTAAGTATTTCTTGAAGTTTACAGTAGTAACTGGAGCGGTAGTAATTTTTGATGAATCATTCTCATGCATGTCTACAAAATAAGTATTTCTTGTAGTTTACTGTACCAATTAGAAGAGATTTATAGAGTTAGGTAGTTTTCGTTGGTTACCGAATGAGCATTTTTCAGATTTGGAACATGGCGTGATCTGTAGCTATGCATGTTAATTAGCAATTAGGTTTTACCACGTCAGTGTATTTCAATCTAGAGAGCTACGAATCATTAAGATTCATTAGAATCTGACTTGTAATCTAGGCAGATCTACATTATTCCCTAAAAGAAGAGATGGCAAAAAATAGTTTCGGTTTGTAGTTACCATTCACTACAATTTAGAGATCACAATCTTTCCAAATCTGTATAGTTCAGACATTATGCACCATGGCTCTCTTAACTGAAATGGAGATTTTTTTTTGCATGTATTGGTCAATAGCTTCTCATGATGGAACCAGTGGCACTTTAGATTTAAAGAGTCACATGAGATCTTGTGGTGCTAGGCATGCACCAATAGGCCCAAAGCAACAAAAGTTAAGGTTGCGAAAGGTTGATGATGGAAACGCCAATTTGGAGAATATTATTTTTGATCAAGATGTTGCCAGGAAAGAGCTTCCACTAATGATTTGTGTTCATGAGTACCCTCTATCTATGGTTGCTCACTTGGGTTTCAGAATTTTTGTTCAGCATGACAACCAATGTTTAGAATGGTAGTTATGCTTATTTGATGTTGTGTTATTTTGTGAGAATTTGAGAGGTTATGTGGCGATCTACACTTGTACTATGTCATTTTGTGAGAATCTAAGAGCTTATTTGATGTCATGCACTTGTGCTATGTCATTTTGTGAGAATTTGGGAGCTTATCTGAATGTTGTGCTATGTTTTATGTATACGTGATGAGAAAACCCGATGGATATCCAAACCCGATGGATATTCATCGGGTTTGGACATGGGCATAATTTTACGCCCATGGATTTTTTCGTGGATGGGCACATACTGTCTTCATGGATTTTGATATGGATTTAATATTGTTCAACCCGAGCCGAACCCGATCCATTGCCATCCTTATCTGTCATGCATCACTTCATTTATTACATTATAGACTCATTTTTTTTGATATGTGTGATGTTACAGTAACCAGCTATGTTACTACATGCCTCTTTTTCTTCATTAATTACATGTCACATCATCTATTTTGTCTAGATAAGTGTGATGTTACGACCTATATTACTCTCACTGTAGTTAGTTTTATTGATAGGAGAAGATCAAGCAGGAGGGAGTCCAGGACGCTGCCTCAGTGTGCGCCCACTAACCAGTCTTACCACGAATAGTCCGAGTCACGCGAGGGGTGGGCGACAACTCATAGGTGAAGAAGCGGATCGGATAGTCTGGGTCACGCGAGGGGTGGACGACAACTCATAGGTGAAGAAGCGGATCGGATAGTCTGGGTTACGCGAGGGGTAGACGATAACTCAAAGGTGAGGATACATGCATTGCGAGCTTCGAGATTCACCATGCAGAGAGTATGATCATGGTGGGAAGGACCTTAGATGGCCGGACGGGGAGTAAGACGTTGCCCACCAATCCAGAAAACAAACCGCGACGTCGGGCGATGAGAGATCGATCTGCACCAGGCAAGTACGTGAGCCACACCTGACAGGTGAAGGGGTAGTCCATGAGTAGGTGGTTCATTGTCACAGGTCTAGTCGCACGGAACGCGGGCGTGGAGCGTGCGGGACGCCACGACAAAGTAAGCAATCAACCATAAAACAACGATCTTGTAGTGCCAACCAGGTGAAAAACTTCGATCGCAGGACAGCCCAAGTGCGCCAGTTTAGCTATCATTAGCAAAAATGCCCGTGCGTTGCAACGGGATAAAAAGTTAACACACCATCTAGTCTCAATAAGCATTGCTAAGACCATCTCCCCCTTTCCCCACCCATACACAGGTCAATGTCCTATATTTTAACCCCCACCCGTGTGGCCGCCTATATTTCTTCTCACCATGATCGCGACAGATATATGTTAATAAATTTGTATGAAAATATATTCTTGTACTCTATGCTTATTTGTATTAAAAAATATTGACATCTAAATGAATGGTAAAAGTATGCTGAAAAGGTCTATATCTTGGGACAACTACTTCTCAACTATCCCAAGGTGTAAGTTGTGCCATCTATGATCATATCATTAAGGAAAATAATGGAAGATTCTTATCAATGATTTATGCTCAGACATGATACACTTCTTTAACACATTATGAGTACACGGCATAGTAAATCTTCGTGATGTAGCATCTGTTAGCATATGAGTTGATCTTGAGGTTTATTGTGTCTCTACGTCAGTTGTCTTAAATCCACCATCTGAAACTACAATTATGACATTATTGTGCAACTTATAAGTACAAATTTATTTAATAACTTATTATATGCGTCTGCAAGCTAAGCATGGAATTAAACTCCGCTGGTACATGCTAATGATCATAAAGGATGCCAGTAAGCCAGTAATTTACTCAAACAACCATGACCAGAAAAAAAAACCATGACCAAGATGCAGACTCATCACATTCACACTCGTTTCAGCCATAAACCACCCCAAACAAGAGATCAAGGTACTGTACGGGGGATAGAGATCGCCGGTAAAGGCAGGAATCACATGGATGCCGACGCCACGGTTCGAAGGGCCTGAAACACCTCACCCACCATTACCACATCCGGACAGGATCCCAACGGGGCGGAGATTTTCACCTCACTACACCTGACCTATAAATTCTACGAGCAGGAAAAAACAGCGGAGCACGGAGAAATCCACCAATGGTTTTGGTTTAGGGTTGATGTTAGCCAACAATATGAACTCACGTGTTTTCAGCAACCATCCTCTGCATCGCCGGCGTCGCGTACGCCCCAGCAGCTCCAAAACCAAGAATCGACGGCGCCGCGCCAGGAGCCGCCCCGGCTGGCTGGGGACAACCGTACCCCTCGGCACCGACCACAAAGGCCGACGCGGCGCGCTGCTGCGCGTGGGAGCTGTAGCCGGTCAGGATGCACGCGCGCCCCGACTTCTCGTACTCCCGCCGGCTCACCACGCGGGTGCTCTCCCGCAGCTCCGCCACCAGCGCCCTGAACCTCGCGTCGTCGGCCAGCGCCTCCCGCCTGCGCTCCAGTATCCTCGCGGCCTCCGCGTACTCGCCGCACTCCGCGGCCGTGCGCCCCGCCGCGATGTCCTCCGTCGCCTCCACGCGGAATGTCTCCCGCGCCATGTCCATGGACGGCTGCTGGTCCTTGGCCAGCTCCACCGGCCTGTGCACCGCCACATCCAGCACCAGTCCGATTGCCGTGTCGCGATAGGTGCAGGTCACCTTCACGAGTTGCGTCACGTCGTCCGCGTTGCCGGCCCTCGACACGTCCACCAGGAGCAGGAAGCGCATTTCCTCGTCCGCGTAGAGCTCGCCACGTCCACTGAGGCGGAGCGCCTGTACGCGTCGATGCTGGTGTTGTAGCGGCTGGACTTGACTGCACGGACGCGCACCGGGTGCACGCACTTGACGGTGATCAGCGCCTCCTGCACAACCACGTAGAAGAGCCCGCCGATACCGTATGCTGGTCGGAAACAGATCGAGCGGGATCGAGCGATAGCCGTATGCTGGTCGAGATAGATCGGTTTTTTTTTTGAATGAATTGGGTTGATATGTGCGATATACGGACCACGTCGGACGGACAGACGAACATGCTATTAGTACCACCTTGTTTATATTACGATTTTGTCCATACAAATTGTAAAAGCGTATTATGACATGAGAAAAAAGCGTATTGTGGCGGTGAACCCGACAAAGTCAACCCATACTTTATTATTAGGGAGAGAAGGGAGAGATCAGTAGCTAGCGGCCCCAAAGAACAATGCCTCATAGCACGAGCGTCTCGTGTAGGCACTGCTGGCGCAGATCTTCCAAGAGGGGCAATTCGGCTATATCGTGAGCTTAAGTTGATGCAACCGATGTCAAAGCTTCATGTATTTGACAGGTGCAGCAAGTCCCGGAGCGTAGTGGATGTCGCGAATCCAAGCTCGCTGATGAAGCCCCTCAACGACGATGTGGCATCTTCGGCATCGACACAGCACCAACTCGAGGAGAGCGGGACAATCTTAGTGACCGACTGGCCGGACAACCCGTGATCCTCTAAAAATGCATGATTCTCCCTTGCGAACGTGTCAGGAGGTTGACGCGTGGAAGATGGCGCCATGGACAGGATGGGTCGGTCTTATAGATCCAAATCCACCGGGCATGGAGGGTGATGCCCATATGACAGAAATCATGGATGTCGAGCCCTCTGATATGGAGCGGCTGCCACACCTTTTGCTAATTCATGGAGCAGTAACCTATGTTGGTATCCTTGCACCCGAACCAGAGGAAGTCGCGGTAGATACGATAAGCAAGCTTGAGGGTAGTCGCATCCATGGAGATGGCCATCAAGGTGTGCACCGAGATGAGACTAAACACATGTTGAAAAAGTAGTAGACGCCCAACCTTTTTCGAGAGACCTGCCTTCCAAGTGGGGAGCTCCTTCTCGAGTTAGTCCAGCATCGGTTGTAGAGCGGTCGAGGGTAGCTTACGCATCGAGACAGGAGGACAAGGTCTTGATGGGGAACTTAGTGCCCGGGCATGGCAACACATCACGAATGTCCTCGATGTCATTGAGGCGGCACCATATGGGGGTGGTCGAAATCTTGGAGAGGTTCGTCACTAGACCCGAGGCAATCCCAAAGATCTGAGAAGCTCACGAATGGCACTCAAGTCTTGAGGGTTCGGGTGGCAAAATATCACCATGTTATTAGCGTAGAGAGAGACACTCGAGGCCAAGTGGCGAGGGGTGAGCCACAGGAGGATTCCCTAGGAAATGGCCCGTTGAAGGATCGAGTGTAGGACGTTAATGACGAACACGAAGAGCATCAGCGACAATAGGTCACCCTCACGAAGTCCTATGCAGTACCAAATTGGAGGGTCAGGGACGCCATTGATGAGGATACAAAGATACTAGCAATGGACAATAGGATGAAAATCCACGCACATCAGCGGTAGAGTTTCATGGCTTCATTTCATCGTTAGAGGATAAAGGCGTTGCATGGCATATGCAAACATCAAGGGGGGCTCCTTATATCCGTAGAGTTGCATGGCTTCATTTATCATTTATATTCTTTTCCATGCTCTAACCCTATTGTCATAAATACCCCCAAAAGAGGGAGATTGAAAGTGCATTTATTTCTAAATGGTATTTTGGTGTGACGACAACATGGTTAGTGAAATTAATGATTATTATTAAATATTATCTCAGGTCATTGGTTTCTCTGAGGTTTATTAAGGAGATGGTTGACCCCCCCTCGCCAGTGCGCCATCGGTCCGCCTCATCTCCTATGGTCCTTGTATCATGGAGGCGCGGTGGATCTCGGTCGTTGCCGCCGGGAGGCTTACGTATTTAGGTGTTTCTTAGAGTTTTGTTAGGGTTTGGGCATGCACAGAAAAAGGCGGAGACGGCTTCTTGAAGATGAAATAAGGTCCTCCCCGCCCAGCCCTCGTCTGGGCAATGTTTCAAGTGTCGACGAACGACGTGTGGAGGTGTGTTTTCGGCAGATATCGTGGGATCCGATCGGCGTCTGTCTTCGGTGGATCCGTTTGGATCCTTTCAATCTAGAATTCTCTTCATCGGTGGCATTTGTTGTTC